AGGGGGCGCGACCCTGCTGCGAAGCCTGCAGCTCGGGCTCAAATGAAGCGGTCGCGGTGCAGATCTTGCCGGTGGTAGCAACTATTTAAATGGGAACTTTGAAGCCCGTCGTGGAGGAGGGTTTCCAAAGAGTAGCCGCATAGTCTGCGGCCCCCGTCAAGGTGCGCCCAAGCAGATCCCAAGGGGCATATCCACACCCCAAGCCCTTTCACTGTGGATTCGTGACCGGCAGGCGATACGCCCACAAAGGGTCCGCACCGCTCAGGCTCCTTCCTCCTTGTGGGCTGAGTCGCCCACCAGCTTCCATACACATTGAACTCCTCGATTCATGTTTTCAATGACGGTATAATAGAGGAGTTTTGCCAACGTCCTGATACGTCGGAGACCGAATGGGCTCACAAAAAAAAGGCGAGTACCCAGGTCCTTGACTGCCGCCTCGATCTCTAGATCCAATGTTGCGTCGAAGTCAACAGGCGTCGAAGCATAGAAAATCTTAATTGTCAGAGACTGACTGACAATGATAAAGAACCGCTGTCACCGCCCCAACTCTGCTGACGACAAAACCAAGGGTGATAGCCCCGCCGAGCACTCAACCCCTCGGCTTCTCTGCGCTGTTCCGTTACTCCTTTGCCTCCACCCGCTGGTCTCGATCCCTATATCTCTTTGATGAACGTCCGATGTCGTAACCAATAGTGCTAGGCCCAAGTCTGGGGCTAGCTTTGACGAACACCGAAACAAACAGATACCGTGCGGCGCACGGATCTACTGAAAACATTTGAAGGCCACCTTGTTGTCGATACCTTTTCTCCGCACGTACACTCAGGTCACAGTCAAGCGCACCAATCAAGATACATTATCTTTTTAATCCTAATCTAATCAAAAATAATAATCTGACTGGCGATCAGCGCTGGTTTCCACAATCATCAACAGCAAAATAGATCACGCGTGCCTTAAGTCTGTGCGCCCACACACTCTACTCTAGTCAACCGTTCAGTCAACGTAAACCTCAGACACCACCACACTTTGCGTGGTATACTTAAACTTTTAGACCAAACCCATTTTCTGTTGCTTGCAAAAACCAGGGCGGATACCCTTGAAAGGGTATTCACACCGACACCGTGATGTTTTCAGGCCAAAAGCCTGAAAACAAGGGCCTACAGGCCCCCGTGTCGTTTCAGCCTGAAAGCAAGAAAACAAGGGCCTACAGGCCCTTTGTCGTTTCAGGCTAAATCAGGGCCTTTCCGACCCTGAGTGTTTTCAGCCTAAAACTAAGGGCCATTTTCAGACCCTCATCAGTTCGACCCGCCCTGAAACTCAGGCAACAAACCAGAGTTTTAGCACAGGCCATTTCGGGCCTGTTTTCAAGACAACCCCTGGTTGAGCTTCAACGCCAGGGTCTGGCACGTTTCGACATTGGCAAGAGCAGCCTCCTGGACGGGCCAGCACTATATAGGATTGGCCCGCCCTACAGGCTGGCAGGTAGTTCCTAGGTACTTCCCATGTTACGGACTCCGCCAGGGCTCGATCCCTGGTCTATCTTTTTGCTGTTTCGGCTGCATCCCGTTTTCGGCCTGGCAGTGCAGGCTGGCACCCCTTTTCCAAACCCCTCCTTTGGTACCGTAGGATTTTGGACAACTGGCGCCATGCTGCAATTCGGGCGCCACTTTCGAATACCGCATTTTTCAGTTCTACCCTCGGGGCCTTTGCAGAAATGCCCCTGGTACCGTACGTGTCACCGGTACTTATACCGGCTCCCCGTACGGTACGGGGACCAATCTCGTACCAGTTTCCAGTTGTTGTACTCGTACTCCGTGTGACTTGCTGTTTCAACATTCGGGAATCCAAGACTTCGACTTTGTGCCCTTGCCACTGTGTCTGCGTCCGACCCTCAGTCGGGTCGAGTGAGTGAGTGTGTGTGTGTGCTCTCACTCTCTCCCTCTCTCTCCTCTCCCTGGGCTCTCCCTCAGCCTCGCGCGCGTTACATTGGTATCGGAGAGGTTTGAACCCGCCCGAACCACCCTGCTTCGTCGTCACCACCTGGCCATCACCAGCATCATCGTCGCGATCATCGTCGTAGCGCCATGTCATCGTTGTGATCATCGCCGTTGTGCCACGTCATCATCACCATCGTCGCGATCGTCGTCGTCATGCCACATCATCATCGTCACCGTCGCGATCGTCGTCGTCGTGCCACGTCACCATCGCCGTGCCCGCCGTCCTCGTCGCCACGCCGTGCCATCCTCGTCATCGTCGTTGCTACCTCCGCACAGATAAGTAATCGACGACAATTTTATTTATTTATTTATTTATTATTCTTTTCTTTTTCTTTTTCTTTTTCTTCTTCTTCTTCTTCTTCTTCTTCTTCTTCTTCTTCTTTCCTTCTCCCCCCAACGATCTTTCCCCGACCCTTTCCCCCCC